AGTCACCCACTCACACTCACTCACTCACTCACTCACTCATGGTAGTGAAACCGTGAGTTTGTAAAATGCGAATGATCAGCATCACGTGTTGCTTTTCTTTAACACCAAGTTGGCGCTGTCACTGTTCCAGGTATTGTCACACTGAACTCACTCCCCACTTTAGTATGCCACTTTAGTGCGTGATATTGCTGGAATATTGCTGAAACTGAAACAAATATATCCAATAAATCCCATGCAAGTCTAGAATATGGCAAGTCTAGAGGAAAGTCTCAGGGCTCCTTTTCATTATATATATATATATATTTATTACGAACTGTTTATCTGTAAAAAATGTTGATTTCAGAGACTAGTTGTTAGACTATCACTACTTGTGTCGTAAGCCTATCATGATTGTGGACGTCTTAGTAAGTCAGTTCATGCTAGGCTGACTGCCAGACATCCAGGGCCTGGTATGTTAACAGCAAGTGCCGCCTTCCTTGTACATCATATGTAAGCCACTACATATCAGTAATGGGGAAAGCAAGGACCTTCTAATGGCCACCAGACTGTCCGAAATATTAGTTGTGGTGTTGAGTTTCTGCTGTACACATTCCCATCATTACAAGGTCACATAACCCAGTTGATGACCATGTTTATCCCTCGATATCCAAAGTTCATCAACTCCCTGAGGAGATTCCTGCCTGAGTAAATATGGGGAAGATTATTATCCCCAATCAGAGGCAGTCTGACGAGTGTTGTAGGAAGGCTACAAGATCAAATGCTTGTTTGACCTTCTCCAAGAATCAGCAGGATGTTGTGTGTGGACTGACTTGTATGTGTACCGGTTTACTTGCTCTCTTTGATGGATGATATTATATCGGTGTTAAAAGACTCTCTGCCGAATCTTCCCTGCTCCTTGCTCGCCTTGGACGCCTGCAGGTGTACTGTACAGCAACCCAGCTTGTGATGGATACACCAGATTTAACGGAGAACCATCTTAGTGGGGTATTCCCAGACATTCCTGTCAAAGTGAAAACACATTCTTACGCTACCTTCTTCAACAGATGTTGACATACATACATCATATTCTCTTCTATATATTAATATATAGTATTGTTGTTTTCAGGACCTTAACAATCAGATTTTCATTGAAAGAAGAGAGCTTTTGAGATCTAAACATATATTGAAATCTTAACTGTCTTTCAAATAAAAATTAATGTCATTGATCTGAAGTCTGTTAATTGTGAGTTCAACATTAGATGAAAATCAGTCATTCCAGCCTTGAACTTTGAGTTTGCTTCACACCTGAAGGATAATGTCATCTGTAATTTGAGTAATTGTAACAGCGTCGGAATCCAAATTGTGAATTAATAGTGTTAATTATCAATAAGTATGTCTTTAAGATGCTTTAACATGACTAATGGGGACTGTTGGTGGTATCCTGTAGGCTGTGGTACAGTCAGACCTGTAATATGTCTACTGTAGGCCATGCTACAGTCAGACCTGTAATATGGCTACTGTAGGCCGTGCTACAGTCAGACCTGTAATATGGCTACTGTAGGCCGTGCTACAGTCAGACCTGTAATATGTCTACTGTAGGCCGTGCTACAGTCAGACCTGTAATATGGCTACTGTAGGCCGTGCTACAGTCAGACCTGTAATATGGCTACTGTAGGCCGTGCTACAGTCAGACCTGTAATATGGCTACTGTAGGCCATGCTACAGTCAGACCTGTAATATGTCTACTGTATACCATGCTACAGTCGGACATGTAATATGTCTACTGCTACAGTCAGACCTGTATATGGCTACTGTAGGCCATGCTACAGTCAGACCTGTAATATGGCTACTGTAGGCCAGACATGTAATATGTAGGCCATGCGCTACAGTCAGACCTGTATGGCTATGTATGCCATGCTACTGTAATAGGCCGTGCCATGCTACAGTCAGACCTGTAATATGGCTACTGTAGGCCGTGTAATATGCTACAGTCAGACCTGTAATATGGCTACTGTAGGCGTGGTACAGTGCTACAGTCAGACCTGTAATGTAATATGGCTACAGTCAGACCTGTAATATATGGCTACTGTAGGCCGTGCTACAGTCAGACCTGTAATATGGCTGCTACAGTCAGACTGTGCTACAGTCAGACCTGTAATATGGCTACTGTAGGCTGTGCTACAGTCAGACCTGTAATATGGCTACTGTAGGCCATGCTACAGTCAGACCTGTAATATGACCTGTAATATGTCTACTGTAGGCCATGCTACAGTCAGACCTGTAATATGGCTACTGTAGGGCTACAGTCAGATTCTGTAATACAGTAGGCCATGCTACAGTCAGACCTGTAATATGCTACTACTGTAGACCATAGCTACAGCTCAGTCAGACCTGTAATATGGCTACTGTAGGCCATGCTACAGTCAGACCTGTAATATGGCTACTGTAGGCCATGCTACAGTCAGACCTGTAATATGGCTACTGTAGGCTGTGCTACAGTCAGACCTGTAATATGGCTACTGTAGGCCATGCTACAGTCAGACCTGTAATATGGCTACTGTAGGCGTGCTACAGTCAGACCTGTAATATGGCTACTGTAGGCATGCTACAGTGCTACTGTACAGTCAGTCAGACCTGTAATATGGCTACTGTAGGCATGCTACAGTCAGACCTGTAATATGGCTACTGTAGGCCATGCTACAGTCAGACCTGTAATATATGGCAGTACCTGTATGGCTACTGTGTGCTACAGTCAGACCTGTAATATGGCTACTGTAGGCCGTGCTACAGTCAGACCTGTAATATGGCTACTGTAGGCTGTGCTACAGTCAGACCTGTAATATGGCTACTGTAGGCTATGCTACAGTCAGACCTGTAATATGGCTACTGTAGGCCATGCTACAGTCAGACCTGTAATATGGCTACTGTAGGCTATGCTACAGTCAGACCTGTAATATGGCTACTGTAGGCTATGCTACAGTCAGACCTGTGATATGGCTACTGTATGGCTACTGTAGGCCATGCATGCTACAGATTACTGTAGGCCATGCTACAGTCAGACCTGTAATATGGCTACTGTAGGCTGTGCTACAGTCAGACCTGTAATATGGCTACTGTAGGCTATGCTACAGTCAGACCTGTAATATGGCTACTGTAGGCCATGCTACAGATTACTGTAGGCCGTGCTACAGTCAGACCTGTAATATGGCTACTGTAGGCCATGTTACAGTCAGACCTGTAATATGGCTACTGTAGGCCATGCTACAGTCGGACCTGTATTATGGCTACTGTAGGCGTGCTACAGTCAGACCTGTAATATGGCTACTGTAGGCTGGCACATCTGGAAATTCTGGAACGTAAAAGCTGACTGTCAGAGTAGAAGCGGCAACGGTTGCTTTATGATTGTTTTATTGGCCATTGCAGTGAAGGTGGGGATCTTGCTCCTTTTCTAAACATGCCTTGCTTTAAGGTAGGGGGATTTGCTACTTTCTGCTGGCATATTAACAAGGGTTACAGGCTTTTTTTGTTTACTTGATCACAAGTTGTTCAAGAATTTGAATTGATGTGTAATTTGTAGCTGGTCAGAATGTATGTGGAGTGGTTGATTGGAGTGAACGACATCGGAACACATAAATCCAATGTTACTTCTGGCTAGCACTGGGGTGCTGCAAGGTAGAGTAGATTGTTATGATCTCTTTTATTTGGCTTTGCAGATTAAGGAGTGAAATATCAATGGTGGAGTAGCCTGATGCTGTGCTAAACTTCAGATTTTAACTTTACTGAGTTTGTCATACTGTGAGTTTGTGAGAGGGCATCTTCGTCCTGCCATTTCAGTATTTCAAATTATATTCTGAAGTGCCAATATTTAACAATTCCATATCTTTTTTATTCGTAGAAGCTTCACATGTGAGACTTTTACAACAGTTTTACAAAGTGTTAATAATTTTTGTTTTGAATGTTGAAAGACAAGCTTTGTTTGGGTAATTCTTTATGTGACATAGAATCTGATGACACCATATTTCAAAACTTCATATGCAGCTTCTGGTATTTCATCTGTTGTATGCCTCTGTGTAGATACAGATGAGCAAATGTTGAGAAAATACCATTACTTTTCTGAAGTCTTCTGTTGTGGCCTGATTATAGTTGTGGCCTGGTGTTAGTAGGATCGTTATTCTGTATTATGTTGAAATAAGAAAATTGCAATCTGTGCAGTATAATGGTCATTGTTCTTGTCATGGTTGGGGGGTGGGTGGGGTAGCTTAGTGGTTACAGTGTTTGCTCGTCACGCTGAAGGCCTGAGTTTGATTCCCCACATGGGTACAATGTGTGAAGCCCATTTCTGGTGTCCTCAGCCATGATATTGCTGGAATATTGCTACAAGTGGCGTAAAACCAAACTCACTCACTCACGCGTGTCATGGTTGACATTTTTAGAGGTAATGAGAAAAATATACAATGTTGATGTATTATTCCTGCAGTATGCTGATTGCTATATGATAAACATAATTAAAACATGTATAGTAATTATTGTATTTTCACCATCAGTATACCAGAGGGAGTCATTATTGTAGTATACAAAGTTTCACCATCAGTATTTAGGTTTGCTACCAGAGGGTTCTTCAATAACAGTGGAAACCTCCTATCCGCTTAACTAAACATTTCCTGTCCCGGCAAATTTCTTCATTAATTATCACTATTAGAGTATACGGAAAGTAAACAATACCCTGCTAAAGCTGGAAGTTGGTTAAGGTGGTAAAGTGGATCAGGGGTGTAGTCTGTCATCCAACTGCCATTGGGTTGGGCCAGCCCTGTGTGGTTGGCAGGTTCTTCAATCAGTCTACTTGAAATTTTACTTTTCAGGTTTACATTATTTCAGTGTGGTGTGTCTTGTACAAGTATGTATGTTTACATACACTATGATCGCAGGATATCTAAACATGTAGAATTGCACTATATACTATGTAGTTCATTATATGGTTCAATTTTGAGGTATTTTTACAAGTTTTTTCTTTTCTTTTCCAGGAACATGGGTGACCTTTGGAGGCCAGGTGTCAGAAGAGGTATGTTCCTTGTCTTGTCTTATTTATAACCAAAGTTCTCTGTGCAGGGCCAGAGTGCCCCTATGTGTCATGAAATATTTATGTGTTTGTGTCCCGAAATATTTATCTGATCTGATAGATCTGCACTTACTGGTCCTGAAAACGTGAATATGACAAGTAAACAGTATCCTTGCAGAGTTACATCCCTTACTCGTACATGGATCCACATATCTCTCAGTACATGTTCATGGGATTGAGGAAGTACGGTTTTCTTTGGCTTTCCTACAATTTTATTCAAAGTAGCGTTACAACACTCACTCTGGAACTGATCCTTGTGTCTTGTAGCTTTCACCAAATGTTCCACAAAATATCTGCATTCTGTTTTGAGCTGATGGGTGTGATGCAACTTACATGCTCATCAAAGTAAACTAGACCATCACCCGCCTGAAAACATGTCATAGCACTATATCCTGGAGGTGGGGGCTCTTTGTTAAATCATTGCCGCATCATGCTGAAACCCAGGGTACTTTGTGTTAAGCCAATCTCTGGTGTTCCCTGCCACGGTATAGCTGGAATATATTGCTAAGAGCTGTATAACTCACTCACTCACTCACTCACTCACTCACTCACTCACTCACTCACTCACTCACTCACTCACTCACTCACTCACTCTCACTCACTCACTCACTCACTCACTCACTCACTCACTCACTCACTCACTCACTCACTCACTCACTCACTCACTCACTCACTCACTCACTCACTCACTCACTCACTCACTCGTAAGTCTGCGCTGAAGTAAATATATGCCCATGTCACTCAGGTTATGTGTTGTAAAAAAAGTTGATAATTTCGCAATTTGATTTCTATTAAATTATGATTTCCTGGAGACTTAAACAAGTTTGTGATGCATCTTTGCTGTGTCTGAGCTGGTCTTCTGTTGGTGAAACCAATCAACCTTTGTTTGTTGCATCTGGGGTCCATTGCAATACAGAATACAATGTTGACCAGCTGGTAGGCAAATAGTTTCATCATACAGGACTTGATCAGATTGTTGTGTCAGACAGAGACGTGAAATCAATACGAATCGGAGGAAATGAGTGTGAAGGGAAGTGTTTTCTTTTGTCAAGTTGTCATGGAGGCCAGTCAATGCCTATTGCTTGGAATATGTCAAGTGTGATTTCATTTCATTCCTTTCTATGTATCCACATTTACGCCCACGTCATCGCCGACAGCCACATCGACGCCCACACCAACACCCACTCCCATCCACACACTCACTCACCCACTGTCTTCATGCCATATTCAGGTAGATACCGTCTGTCTGTTCACTCCTTGTATTGTGCCATGCGCACAAACATCAATATGCCTTCCAAAGTAGGTAGTACAGTCAATATCTTACATCAATGTATGTGGTAGGGCTTAATCTCGAAGTTACAACATTCAGCCTGTCCATGTTGCTGTTGTTGCTGCTGTTGCTGCCTCCAGATCTCCATAGCGTACATGTTGTCAACTTGTGCTCGTTATTCTGTCTCACTCAAACATTCATACAGTGGCGATTTAATGGGAAATAGTTATATAATGTTTTAAACAACTATTTTAAACGTACAAATTTGAAGACATCTTAAGGGACCGTGGAGAGGGGGAAGGGGAATGATCTTTATGGAAAAGCATGTACAATGTGAATGACCCCCCATAGTTTGCTATGTTACGTAAAAAGAGTGTTCTTTTGGATTTGAGAAGGTTTGCAAGTTTTGACAGATTTGGCCATTGTAGAAATTGATTTGGGATAAAAATGAATCTTTCGGAAATGAAGGCTTCATGTTTAAAAAGATAATGGAACTCATCTGCTACTGCTGTGAGCTGCCGAGAGGGCAAAGTCGCACTTCTCTGGGTACCCCAGTAGCCAGTCTCAACCGGTAGGTTGACCCCCCTGCATGTCATATACAAAATGAATGAGCATTGTGTTACTATACAGACAGTCTGATGGTGTAGGCACATGTCATCAAACATGGGCCTGTCTAGCTGGATGGTAAGTTTGTGTCAAGACATACAAGGCTCATTACAAACCAGACCCAAACCCCGTACACTACGCAATGTGAACTCTTAATGCAATGTGAACTCTTCTTTGCAAGAGAATGAGCAATTTTTGTGAGCCATGAGACACATTCACAAAGAGTTTGGGCACAAAGAGGCAAACTGATTGTCACAAATTGTATAAAAGCGTGTGGATCAGCCCTGACACCAGGTGTTCACAAAGAGTCAAGCGTGTCCTACCCTAATAATTTTCACCTGCTGCCCACACAATTTCCCATGTATCCAACTAAGACATGTGTTTCTGAGAGTCAGGGGCCACAAAATGCGTTTTGGCGATTTGTTTTGTGCATCACGAATACACTGGCAATCGTTATCAAGCACATTTACATCAAATATGATGGAAATGTCCAAACCTATTTATATAGCCAATAGCAAAATGGCTGATCCTCTTAGTCATTTCATGAAATGACTGAAATTTTTAGTCATTTCATGAAATGACTGATTTTACAATCTGACTGTATCATATATAAAGATTATCATATTACTGAAACATTCTGAATAACTGTACATGTAATGATACATGTAACATAATCCATTATTCATACATTAATGAGATTTACTTGTAGGCATCAATTGGTTATATAACCCGGAACTGGGGGATATTGACAGGACGGCTACTGATCAGTGGTTCAAGTCTGTATTGTGTTGGCAATCAATACATCAACTACTGTATTCTATTGTGTTCTGTTGCTCCCCGTGAGACCTGGTCAGAAGTGCTGGCATAGGGTGGGATCAGGGTAGCTTATCTTGATTAGCTAGGCCATAGTATATCATATTTAAGATTTCATCCCTGTTCCACTACCTTGCTTCCATCAGACTACCAAACACCTCCCATCTTACTACCAAACACCTCCCATCTTTCTACCAAACACCTCCCATCTTTCTAGCAAACACCTCCATCACTACATCTTACCAAACACCTCCCATCTTACTACCAAACACCCATCTTACCCACACCTATTGCTAAACACACACCCTACACAACTACTCCACATATACTGTGCTGTACACAACTACAGACATATACTGTGTTAAACCTCCCAGACCTTTGTTTCCTGGGGACTTTCCGGGACAGGCCAGTCCAGTGCCTGTATTCCCCTCACTGGAGATAATCAGTGATGACCTGGGCTAGATGTGGTCTGGCATTGTCATTTAGCAGTGCATATTTCCTGCTGATAAATCTACCTAATGGCAAAATGATAATGTGCAAAAGTCCGTCAACATATTGCTGGCCAGTCAAATGTCCATTAACAATAACCAAATCAGTTGGCCTGTCCTGCGTGGCAGCTTCCCACACCATGACACCTCCATCCAGTACTGATCATGACAGCATTAACTGCCATTTCAGAATCAGAGGCAATTCAATGATTTGTCTGTAAACATGGTGTAATGGTATTTCCTCACATCTGGTCTGGTTTTGTCTGGCACACCCCAGTGTTTACTGCCTATGGTATGGTGTTGGATTCACACCCATCACAGGATGTGGTGCTTGCCAGCTGGGTTTTCGATACAGATGTTGAAATTAACCTTCTTGTGATTTCACAGAATCTTTGCAGATCACAAGAGCAAATAGGAATCTATTGAGTAGTGCAGTTGATGTGTTGAGATAATCTTTTATGTTGTTTTTTTCCTTTTTTCCACTCTGTTGGTTTGACCAGTCTATCAATTCATCTGCCATGTGTTTTCCCTGTCCAGAGCATCACTCCTACACTGCTGGATGTTTGTTGTTGAAACTTGACATACAGATCAGTTCAGCCTTTGATCGTTTAGAATTTTGTATATTTTATGTTATATATATTTTTGTTTATGCCGAAAAGTTGGACTTTTGATGTTGAAAATATAGTTTGAGCTCGTTCATGGAGCAAAACTAAAAACCATATATTTCTGGATGAAGCTTGCGATAAAGATCAGTCTAGTTTTGAACAGATGTCTGTTAATGATTCGGGATATTGGAAAGTACAGAGCAGTATTATTTTCTGTTTCACTGAACTGGAGGTATCCAATGGCAATGATCCAAAAGGGTATGTAGCTAGACTACACTCGTGAATGATACCAGACAGGGTGGATATGTCCTCTCCCGAGGACTCTAGCTTTGGCCTGCCACATCCAGGTCTCGGTGCAACTCTACCTGTCTCACAGCTCTTGCCCCACAGTTGAGAAATTACAAATTTTGATTTGCCAAATATCGATGTCTCCCTTTCTATCGAACACATAATTAACTGTTTTGTCTGTTCAACGAGATAGCTATTTTTGCATGTACAGAGCTCAGTTGCACTAGTGAACTGTGAGTTCCCCTTTTGGTACACACACTCTGGCATCTTTGATCATCTGCATCTTGTGGTTTAAATGAAAGATGTGAAATTTCATTGTTATAGATGCACACCTCAATACCAGTTACTTTCAAATCATTACCTTCCTTGCTTTTTGTCTTAGTATTTCTGGGGCGGTGGGGTAGCCTAGTGGTTAAAGCGTTGGCTCGTCACGCCAAAGACCCGGGTTCAAATCCCCACATGGGTACAATGTGTGAAGCCCATTTCTTGTGTTCCCCCGCCGTGATGTAGCTGGAATATTGCTAAAAGCGGCGTAAAACCAATCTCAGTCAGTCGGTCAGTCGGTCAGTCTTAGTATTTCTGACCACACTAGTTTGTGGGGGTAGCCTAGTGGTTAAAGCGTTCGCTCGTTACACAGGAGACTTGGGTTCGATTCTCCACATGGGTATATTTCTGACCACATGGGGGGTATATTTCTAAAGCGTTTCCCGTTACACAGGAGACTTGGGTTCGATTCTCCACATGGGTATATTTCTGGTGTCCCCCAACGTAATATTGCTACAATATTGCTAAAAGCGGCGTAAAACTAAACTCACTCACTCTGACCACACAGTAAACATAATTCACTTTCATCAGGCCTCACCTCCTTGGGAGTTACATCTGTCAGGTGCTATGATTGTTTCACATCATAACCTGCATAGTTACATCTTTAGTAAGCTGTTTTTCATTACAAGAAACCCCAAATAAAACCTCCCCAAGTAAGTAATTGAAAAATATGTGTGAGGTAATTACAGATCTTCGATAATTTCTTACTTTTCCATTTGAGCATTAAGTTACTTTGAAGTAGATTTCAATGAAATCCAAGAATCAGGGTTTTTCCATTCCGCTGTACAGGTAATTGGGGAAGCATGCCAGTTTAAATCTCCACACATGGTTCCTCACACTGTGTGTCTTTCATGTTTAGACTTTCGTTTTGAAGAGAAAATTCCCAATTTGTAAGCTAGTCCATGTGTCATCCATATGAGATTAACTTCGAAGATTTAATTGGCGCCATTTGCTTGGTGCATTCCTTAGTTACCTATTTCTCTGTTTAGGTTGATGGGTTGTTTATTGATGGTCTGATTGCTGGAGCCATCATGATGTCATTGTGACATCACAGTGTGACAGGTGCTCATGCTGTCAGCCACTGGTTAGCTGTGATGTGGTATACGGCACTATAACAGCTGGTTTTGTTATTGTATGTATGACAGTGTCGCAGTTCAGTAGGATGACTCTCAACTCTGATGAGATATATAGGACACACTTTAACAGGTAATGATACTTTGTTGATTTTCTTTCCTTAGGTTGCAGAAGAGCTCCTCACCCTGGCCTACGAAAGTGGAATCAACCTGTTTGACACAGCAGAGGTGTATGCTGCGGGAAAGTGAGTATGCCTTGTGTCGTGTGTGAAGGAAGGGTGGTACAGTTCTCAAGTTGTATCCAGATTGTGCTTTATAGGCTTTACACAATGAATGAACCTTCATCTAGAGGATTTGTAATTACTCCTAAACTACTTGTTTGAATTTCATCCAAACTTTCCACAAATAAAAGGCAGAGGGCTTTTGATTTAAATGTTTAGGATCTTTTTAACACATCATTCAAGATGTGTGGGTACTGTAACTGATGTGATTGACCTGGGCCTAGATTTTCGAAGCTCTCTTAGCGCTAAGATAGTCGTAAGTGCCATACATTAACATTAACTTACGACTATCTTAGCGCTAAGAGAGCTTCGAAAATCTAGGCCCAGGTTGCTAGGGCATCTTAAGGAGATTCATGAGCACAGGAATTATAATATTCGCTAAATCAGCAAACACTGCCTGATGACAATGATACACTGGGAATTAAATAAAGTATATCATTTTGAAATTAAAAAATGTTTCAGTTGAAATGGATTAAAAGAACATAGGCTGTAGAAAATTGAATGCACAAGTTACACACAGAATGTATAGGAAAGCAAAGACACGGTATTATACGAAGATGTCTCAGTAGCCTTCTTCTCATGTAACGTTAATGTGGTGTCACAGGTCGAGTATGTCATAAATTCAACACTGTAGAAGCAGTAGAAGACAAGATTTCATTACAGTGTCTATTGGATTAATGGGTAATAAATGGTAAAGCTGGAAACCATTACGGGAATGATGATGGTAACGGTACTATAATGGCGCTAAGGCTTTGACAGGCATGGGTGTTATTCCTGATGATCAACTTATCTCACAGGACAAACGTTTAGAATATAAATAATCAATTCTATGAGATGAATCCAAACTTGATTAATAACATCCCTCCAGACACTGATGATGCTGTTGCACAGTCTTAGTTTCTTAAGTGTAGTTTTTTTTAATCCTGCTGATGTAGAGGAAAGATGACCTTGACAGGCGAGAAAAGTTGTCACTAGTTTGATGGGTTCCATCAGGATGAAGCTGTGAAACACAGTTGAGATTCTGCTGCGAGTGGGAGGAAATAATTGTCTTTCAGTTGAGGTGGGCGAAAGGGCAAGAGTGAAGAAAAGGACAAGAATTGTGTTGGATTAAAGATATTTTCATTTGATTATCTTAATGTTCTTTTGTTTTTATAGGAAACTGAAACTGAAAGTCAATCCTGAAATTATTGTTGAATTCATATTTTTTGCCACCTGTAATGAGTCTAATTAAGTAAATGAATATGTGAGGTGAGGTGAAATTGGGTTTTACGTTGTGCTTGAGAATATTTTTCCGCTCATATGACGACGTGCATGCGTGTGTATGTGTATGTATGTGGCTGCTTGTACTAGCACAGACTTTAGCTGGTTTTATAGTGCTAGCCCACTGAGATACCATGCCGCAGTGAAGCATGAATACCCCACTCAGACTCATTATACTGACTCCGAGCCAACCAGTCCTTGTTGTACCCATTAATGCCGAGCGCCAGGCAGGGACCAACAGGTACCATATTTTAACGTCTTTTGGTATGATGCGGTCGGGGATTGAACCTGCGACCTTCTGCTCTCCGGGCGGATGCAAAACAAGAGAGACAACTTGCAGAAGCTGTGCAATACAAACTTTGTTTGCATGCAAGTCAAGACTGTTGCTTCATCATTATTCAGAGATAATGTCTGTTTCACACAAGAGGCTCAATGAACTACAAGCTTCAGTCTGAAATTAGTACCAGGAAGTTGATCCTTGCAGAGTTGTGGCCCTTAGGTGTGCCAGTGACCAAGGATCATGGGTTTGAATCCTACATTCTAGGTTTGTCTGCACCATACTTATACTAATGGTTTCACCAGCGTGGTAAACGTTCCAGACCTGCTTCACGTCAGCCATGGCTCCCACATCAGGCTAACTGTTGTACTGTAACTGAAATGCTCTTCAAAACAGTTTTAAACAAAAAAATGACTCACTTCTTCTCAGCCAAAATGTTAAGATCAAGAGGACAACAAAATAGACAGTGTTCAATGAAAGTCAGTTTTACAAATTGAAATTTTTGATATATTGTTAACCTTCAACAACAGGTTTTGATTAATTTTGGAAAATATATTTCATTTTTTTTTAAAACTATGTGCAAGAAAATCAATTGTATTTTTTTCATTTTATGAACTTAGTGTCCCAAATATTGAATTTAAATTATAAACAAAATGGAATGTTAAATTTGAAATTTTGTTTCAATATCATCTTCAGAATAGCCAAGTAGCAATCTTGATGGGTTAAAAGGATTTTTAAAAGTGATCTGAGACCTATGGATACCGTTTTCTCAATTAGGTCATAGTAATAGTATTGAGAATGATTGACTTATATTCACAGTGTTCAAACACATACATTTTTCATCGGAAATCTTGTATTAACACATATGTCAAATACACAAAAACACAACTTGCTTGGTTATATAATGCATCATCCCTCAGTACCCAGACCAAAATACCAGAAAGTCATTTATAGGAAAAAAGTAGGTTATCAGTATTCTGGAGTAATAAGAAGAAACAGATGCTGATCTCCTGACAGTAACAGCCAAAAATACCCACAGTTAATCTGGCAGTCCCAGGAGTCTTCCGCACTTAAAGGGGGAGTATGTGGTGTACCTTGAAAGGGGAGTATGTGGTGTACCTTGAAAGTACCATACCAGGAGTTGTACCTCCAGGAAACATCCACAGTTAAAGGGGGAGTATGTGGTGGGGAGAAACACATACACCCTGAAGCTGGCAGTCCGAGGAGACTAACTAGAATTTATTGTAAGCAGTTTTAAACGCAACTCATACACTCTTTTATTGGCTGTAAAATAAAGATGAATCGCATTGTACAAATTATGCAGACACTCATGGCAAGTACAGAAACAAATATATCACCTAATAGATTTTGACAGTTAAAGATGTTACACAGTAATAATGATATTGAGGCATAATATCAAATATAAAATAGCGATGGAACGTACACAGAGAGAATGCATCTAGAGTCTTTATAACATGGTGTGTATTAAACAGACGATAAAGGCTGAACAGTCATGAGGTGGCTAGGGAAACATTACTTTATCATGGATAAAGAATTCATCTCCAGTAACCCATGCTTCTTGTAAGAGGTGACTCACGGCGGGGGTGGTGGAACATGCTGACTTGGTTGGTTAACACATGTCCCAATTGTGTAGATCAATGTTCATGCTGTTAATCACTGGATTGTTTGGTCCAGACTTTAGAGACTGAAGCCATATAGCTGGAATATTGCTGAGAGCAGCGTGAAACAACAAATAAAAAGCCCAACCTGATTATGTCGCCCTCGGAGTTGCTCTTGGGCACATGGGCTGGCAATACTACTGTATTGTTATGTCAGCACAGACAGCAGCTCAGGAGGCAGTTGTCATCATCTCGATATCACAAGCAGAATGCCTTCTAATGTCTTGACCAGTGGGTACTGGAGAGTGAAGAGCCCCTTTAATTGTTACCAATGTAGGTTGATGTTCTCAAGACAGGAGGTAGCCAGTAGTATTTGGGACCTAGAAATAGACCGTGAGATAGATCTTGATGTGAGTGCCTCAGACAGTCTGTCTGTTTTGTTTAGAATCTTGGCTGCCTCTGCTGTTTGCTTTGGGGTATTTCTTAAGATTCACGTTTATACAGACAAGGGAACTTCGATGAGAAATGTGTCAAAATATTGATAGCAGCTAATAAGGTGTAAGGGGCAGTGTAGATACATTGATAAGTGATGTGTTAAATGCTGCTGATATGTTTAACATGCTGCTATAATTGAATAGCTCATGAAATAATTAGCTTCAGGATTGATGAGTGAATTTACATGACTATTAATTATAATTATTATCATTTTATTTGTGCAAGATGTGCTCTATTCACAAGTCCATAACAGTATTTAGGCCTAAGCTATATATATTTCTGGAACTCATCGCATCTGAGGAGAGCCTCATCAGGAACAGTTTGTTATTTCTGTGGATAGGACAAATACAACAAAAGCCAGTTGAGATTTCAGGATTAGGAAATCATGGGTACAGCATAAAGACCTTTGTATATTTTTAGAAAGTACTGATAATAATCATTTGTCGGTAGACAGTTAAGACTTGCTGAGTTCCACTGTAGATGATGGATGGTTGTGACGGATGGTTGTGATGGTAGCCAGGCTGCTCCCAGCAGTAATTCACTGTACAGGGCATGTTTGATAAGTTCTGAGCCTGGCACAGACAAGGACATGAAGCTGGCTGAGAGAGCCTTGAAGATGAGCCTCTTCCTGGCTGGCCTGACACTTCAGCTACACCAGAAATAATCCAGAGAATCCTCTAGGATCAACTGAGTGTCATGCTGCTTGGTCAGGGGATTTTCTCAGGATAGTGTACACTCCAGTATCACAGAAACTTTGGTGATGAAGAAAGTCGTTTGGTTCTGAAGCTCCTGGCATATGATAAAAAACACATCAGGTACAAGATAGTTCTGTTTGAAGCTACATCAGAAAGGTTCATGCAACAGTTTATGACTTTCAATAACAAAAGTGTATCAAAGTCGAATGGGATAAGGATGAAAATTATACCATGTTAATGTCCATAAACCAAATCTTCAATGTGAGACTCAGTACTCATCCATCACCCATTGAAGGTGACAGCTGTGTGTGGTTATTTCAAGTAGTAAACCACTGAGGGCAATATTATACCTCATGTGCGGAGTTATGATAGGTGTAGTAGAGTTATCTACCTTTAGTACATTGTCAGCCATGACAGAATCAGTGTAAAGTAGTGTGTGATGTTACATTTGAAAATGTTTGTCAGCTACACAATAGTATAATTGATATGATTCCCCAGAAATCTCATATTGATGAATATATAAATTGCCCACATACTTCGCTTGTAGGTCAAATTGCTATATGATTTACTCATTGGGTTGTCTCCATTATAAGGTTTGAGGTTACCAGAATATATTTCTTAAAAGTCCTTTAGGCTGGAAGTGATATTTCTCCCAGTCTCCATGGGTTATTCCGTGTACAAGCAGAGGGTTCATTCAGTATTTGTGTCAGATGACAAGAAATATGGCATTGTATTCCATCAGAATACAAATGCTATACTGTAGTTTTTACATATGGCTGCAATTAATAATGGTTCAATAGTTGATCCACTACCAATGTAAAAACTGCAGCAAAAGGTGAGAAATGGTATGAAAAGTGTTCAACTGTCATGCTTTTCAAGTCAAAGATTTAGATGCTTGTGAATGCCTTGATGTTCTAACAGTGCAGGTCACTATACTTTATTATGCTGTTGCAATGTTATGCGGTATGCTACACCCCGGTGTTGTGTTGTGTTGTGTTGTGCACTGAATGTTGTACTATGATTGCAGGGAGGAAGAGCAGGTGTTCTCTAGGTCAGTCAGTCAACTCTCATTCTCATTCAGCTAATCAACTCACCGACTTTAATAAACTCTCTCTAGTCTTTCCTGCAATCTCACCTGCTTAAGTCAATTGTCTCTGATCTGTCTGTGACATCACCCTCTTTAGTCAACTCTCTCTAATCTTTCCTGCAATCTCACCTGCTTAAGTCAATTGTCTCTGATCTATCTGTGACATCACCCTCTTTAGTCAACTCTCTCTGACCTTTCCTGCAACCTCACCCTCTTTAACCAGCCGTCTCTGATATTTCTTACAATCTCACTGTCTGTGGCCAGTTCACTCTCTTCCCACTCTCTTTCTCTTGTAAACTCTCTTGAGACTTTCCTACAAATCCACTGTCTCTAGTCAACTCACAGCCATGCAGTCACACTTTCTGTAGATGTCAAAGTCTTTAGTCAACTCACCATCCCATAATCTCAGTCTTCAGTCAACTCACCATCCTACAATCTCAGTCTTCAGTCAACTCACTATCCCACAATCTCGGTCTTCAATCAACTCACCATCCCACAATCTCAGTCTTCAGTCAACTCACCATCCCACCATCTCAGTCTTTAGTCAACTCACCATCCCACAATCTCGGTCTTCAGTCAACTCACCATCCTACAATCTCAGTCCAGTCAACTCACCATCCTACAATCTTGGTCTTCAGTCAACTCACCATCCTACAATCTCAGTCTTTAGTCAACTGACCATCCCACAATCTCGGTTTTCACTCAACTCACCATCCTACAATCTCAGTCTTCAGTCAACTCACCATCCTACAATCTCAGTCTTCAGTCAACTCACCATCCCACAATCTCAGTCTTCAGTCAACTCACCATCCCACAATCTCAGTCTTCAGTCAACTCACCATCCCACAATCTCAGTCTTCAGTCAACTCACCATCCCACAATCTCAGTCTTCAGTCAACTCACCATCCCACAATCTCAGTCTTCAATCTACTCACCATCCCACAATCTCAGTCTCTAGTCAACTCACCATCCCACAATCTCAGTCTTCAGTCAACTCACCATCCCACAATCTCAGTCTTCAGTCAACTCACCATCCCACAATCTCAGTCTTCAATCTACTCACCATCCCACAATCTCAGTCTTTAGTCAACTCACCATCCTACAATCTCAGTCTTCAATCTACTCACCATCCCACAATCTCAGTCTTTAGTCAACTCACCATCCTACAATCTCAGTCTTTAGTCAACTCACCATCCCACAATCTCAGTCTTTAGTCAACTCACTGTCCTGCAATCTCACTGTGTGTAGTCAACTCAAGTCTCTAGTCAACTCCTATCAGACCTTCCTGTAATCACTGTCTACATTCTGTATCTTATAGTTGGGGGTATGAGTGGCCAAGGCTTGTGTCCCTTAACCAAGATTGGAGCTGTTTGGTTCCAACCCAAGATTTCACTGCCCGACCAGCACCTAGGTTTATCAGCACCAGACCCTTGTTTACTGATTTACCCAGAGCAGACGACATGTATGACCTGGGCCACTTGCCTCTAATTAATACTGCATCCTTTCAGATATATATAGACACTTTTCAAATTCAAATATTGCAACAGTTTTCAACTTTTTGCACATGCCATGTCATTCAGTGTCTCTGGAGGACCTTGATGTTTACAGCCTCTGTCCTGTCTCTTCATACCTCGAACCGCTTTGGGAAATGTTCAAAAGGGTTCATATGGAACATTAGAATAAATTCCCTGATGGAGAATACTACTGACCAGTGCATGTGGTCCCATCTTTTGTCACTTCATGAAATACACAATATTCATGGCTCAACTGGATATTCTTGCTTCGTGGGAATCACATCCAGCCGCAGTTAATACACACAGATGCCTTGAACAGGTTATAAAAATATACAAGTTAATTTTGAAAACTCTTCATGAAAGAGAATATTTGATGTATTTTGGCTAAGGATGCTATTAGTTTGAGATGGTCCCTCAGAGGTATTGTTCTCCGACAATGGACATATATATCAGTCAGCTGGGAAATGTACTCCAGTTCTCCAATACTCCTTCATATGGTGTCTTCATCATGGACAACATCAATATCACTGTTATCATGTGGAATATTCGTTCATTATCAAAGATCAATCTGTCTCTTGTGATATTCAGATCAGCTAATCCGTACATGATTGATCGATTTCTGCAACATACAAGCTTTGCTGGTGAAGGTGTCATGTAGATCAAAGGTTTACACTTCAAAGAATATTGCTTGTGATGCCAAATCAATTTTAGATTGAACAATTATTTCTGCTTTACACCACTAAAATGCTCTCTGAATATAATGATCATCATTTATCACAGTGGAGATCAGGCTTCACCTTTTCATCCATAAATACATAAAACGTTTGGGAATCTGTGACCCAATTGTCTAAGGTACCGCAATTCACTATACAGTGTTACTTCCCTTAGCTGTACAAGGAGCCTATGGTCTAACATGTTTATCAGTTTGTCAGTACAATGTTATGGTAAAAGTGGTAATGTCTAAGACCTGCATCTCTTTGGTCTTTTATTCCCCAATATTGAACAAACTTTATGGATAATGACTTGTTTATTTTGTGAGTGTGATGTTTCGATACAGAATTTGAAATTCCTGCTTGACAGTTGTTCAAGAATCTGTATCAAAATGGGGGCCGTAGGGTAGCCTAATGGTTAAAGTGTTCGCTCGTCACGCCGAAGACCCGGGTTCGAATCCCCACATGGGTACAATGTGTGAAGCCCATTTCTGGTGTCCCCCTGCCGTGATGTTGCTGGAATATTGCTAAAAGCGGCGTAAAACCAAACTCAGTCAGTCAGTCAGTATATCAAAATGTCGACTTCATGAAATAAAGAAACTGTTAAGCATAAAGTTTGTTCAATATTGTACGTCCCAACTTCTAAAATGCCACTCAAACAAGTTTTATCCCCATCAGGCTGACATGGTTATGTCTATAATTATGTAAAAGAACTACCTCCTGTTCAAAGCAAATAGAAAACTGAACCTCCTGATTTTCACCTGTTAGTTAACGAGATGGAGCTTCCTGAAACAGGTTTATTAATAGAATAAAACATACATTGGATGTGTCGCTTCCCCTGAATGGCATGCCCAAACAGCTGTCCTGGTTCCTCCTCTACGCAGATCAGTTTTCGGGAAGTTACTTGCTTGCTGTTTTCTCACGATATTTTACTCTTACAGTTCATTGGTGTGTTCACCTCTTCACACAAAACTGCTTTGCACTTCCTCACCTCTGTAGAGGCATGATGGCTATGCTGATAGTGAAACCATTGTGATATAGTGGAGTCTTCGATGTATTTATGTTATAAAGACAGACTAACTATGTGTCACAGGCTTGCATGATATTTAGTTACATCTTTTCAGCACATAATTTAGTGTTTGGTTTTGTAGGTTATGGCACCCACTGTCCTTTGGATAAATATGTAGGCACGATACAGACATTCTCATGAGAATGCCTCTTGGTGCCTGTTGGTTTAACTGACCTTCACATAAACAACACAACCCTGAAAAATATAATTACAAGTATTTGGGCAACTTTTAGGGTACTGACTATAATTCCTTCCTATCTGTTTGGAAGACTACCATTCTGCTGATTCTGAAAAAGATGAATGCACGTTCCCCAGACTATTCATCACTGTTCTTCTCTGGGGGTCCAACTGTCATAAACACACAACATACAGACTTTTTTTATAGAGATGTGTGATCTGTAACTGCACGCTTCAGGGGTGGTGGGGTAGCCTAGTGGTTAAAGCTTTCGTTTGTGACGCCGAAGACACAGGTTTGATTCCCCTCATGGAATATTGCTAAAACGACACTCACTCTCTGCACTCTTCAACATTCAACAGAGTTTGCTATCTATTGTCACTGTTAGCCTAGTGAAGCCCATTTCTGGTGTCGCCGCCGTGATATTACTGGAATATTGCTAAAAACGGAGTAAAACTAAACTCACTCACTGTTAGCCTTGAAGTGGTGCTCAGTGTTATATTGTACAGTTACATCTATTGTGATAGTGTTTTATATAACTGTTGTACTTTAACCCTAGTGTTAGTGCCTACTAGTGTATGTATTACTGTCCATTGCTCCGTTTGTAATATTGTGTACTGTGGTATGATTTGTTGAGGGTGTATATATACATCTGTCAAACACAACAGTACTGACGGAGTGTAAAACTAGCGTGCCACATTTGGTTTTGTAGAATTGTGTCCCTTTTACCAGGATCTGGTGATAATAGGTCAAAATCTCTGAGTCAGATCTGTTGTGATCCTGCGATTGTCAGTACCAAAATGGTCAGCTGGCAGGCTGTGATACAACCAAATCAGTTGCAGCATCAAACCTAACTCACTCACTAACTCTGAGCTTGTCTCTTGCAGGGCAGAAAATACTCTAGGAAACATTCTGAAGAAGAAGAGCTGGAGGTATGATATTTGTCTCCTTGACAATTGTAACAAGAGTATGGCAATATATTGGTACAGTATATATTGTTGGGTTAGTATCGTCTGTTATTAAATTAAGGAGTATGAAGTTATTGTTCCGCATGTGTCCACAAGAAATGGTTTAATGACCATTTACTATTTCAGCCTCTGCAGCTCTGTGTATATAGGGGGAGATGAGGTAGCCTAGTGGTTAAAGCGTTTGCTCGTCATTGCTGAAGACCATTGTGTATGCAGGAGGGGTTTGATTGCCCACATGAGTACTATGTGTGAAGCCCATTTCTGGTGTCCCCTAAACATAACATACTCCGTGATATTGCTGGAATATTTGCAAAAATAATAAAGTTGTTTAAAACCATACTCAGTCATTGTGTATGCAGGAGGTTGGTGACTCATCTGAGTTTTGTGTTTCAGGAGATCGAGTTACATTCTGTCCACAAAGATCTACTGGGGAGGGAAGTAAGTTGTCATTATTTGCTAATAATTGACTATCTGATTGGCCAGTCACAGTCTTCTAAGTCCAGTACACGACAGCCAACCTGTGCAGACATCTTGATGTGATCAGTTTCTAAAACCTATACAGGTCAACTTAACTGTGCAGAAATCATGACTTAGTATCAGACGTTATGTCATCTGCTTGTAATGTTGTAACAGACCCTGTTTTACTTTCTCACCAAGATCAGTGGAGGCTACATAACACTGATATTGTCATACAGACAGATTCCACCCTCTTTTTCAACTTGTGAACACACATCCATAATTGGTAGTGTGTAAAAAGCTGGATTTAATGAGCTATACAACCCTCGACCTCTGATATTGTGGTGTGCAAGTCCGTTCACTTTTCAAATCCCTGCTCCCTGCAGTTGACACATGAAACACAAAGTGAAAAGTTTCCATGTAAATCTGGAAAAACGTTAAGCATCACTTTTGTGTTTTGTGTTCTTAACTGTATCTTTCGAATGTCCATGAACAATATTGATATCACTTTCCCCTTAGTCTAAGTTACCAATGATCCCAGTTCCCATGTAATAGTTATAAAGCAAGACATGGTTTCATACTGACCAATCTAATGGTTTGAATATGAATTATTCTATCCAAGCATTGCTTTTCTGAAGTTTCCTGTTTCATAAAAGTAAAGTGTTTTATTTAAAGGAAACTTATGAATACAGAAGGGAAATAACTCTGCAGTTGCTTTTCTTTGAGTGTTGTCAGGGTGGCCTCCCCTTTTTAACTTCTGATATTGCACATAGCCTTCGATGATAACATGCTGATTTGGTTATTAATGTAATGTTGACAATGGTTCACTTGTCTTGTTGATGTTATAAATGGCAAATGTAGGTCCTCCCTTTTTAGAAATCCTGGATTTGTCCCAGCTCTGATTACTGCTCTTTTAAGCATTAAAGCTCTGCATTTTGCTATTGTCATCAGTACCAATACACAATACGAAACCATTCCAGCATAACCAGCATGGTAGGGCCTACAAAACATTAAACTCTCTCCATCACTGCTCATATTCAGTGTGTATTTCCAGGGCGGAGACAGAGAAAGGACTTTCACGGAAACACATCGTTGAAGGTAAAGTTGAAGAGGCGGTCTAGCTACGTGGATAAAGTATTCCCCGTGTGACCCAGTGTCAGTTCACAGTTTGGGTGTCTGTGAAAATATTCTTCTGTGCAAGTTATCAATTAATTGTAATGGATGCATTGATTCAGTGATGGCATTGGAGGGGTTCCTTGAGTTTCACAGTATGTGTCACAGATTGATGTATGTATGACATGGTGATCACCGTGAGTGATGTGCTGTTGCCAGGTCTGAAGGGCTCTCTGGAGAGGCTGCAGCAGGACTATGTGGATATTGTGTTCGCCAACAAGCCAGACTCACATACGCCAATGGAAGGTAAAGATGAATTTGTTTCTGGAGCATGTTTCATGTGTCTGACTGATCACACAGACATTCATTGTGTGAACAGGACTCGGTCTTTCATTGTTTCAGGCTGTACACCAGACATAGACACGTACCCCAGACAGAGACACGTACCCCAGACAGAGACACGTACCCCACACAGAGACACGTACCCCAGACAGAGACACGTACCCCAGACAAGCCTTGAGTTAGTGGGAACGTTAACATTACACAAACTAATGGGTTGAACAGAGAAGTGCAACTCGGCCCCCACCCCAGTCCATCAACCGTGGCATAAAACAACATTTGCTCACTTTTAAAGTCTCTCCTTTAGGCCTAATGTTACAGGACCTAAACTGGAAATAAATTTAGGTTTAGGTCCTTGAAGAGCCTCCAGTTTGTCATTTGAGATTTGTATATGCCATAAAACAACATTGCCTCACATTACCTACTCATGCATGATTGAAAAATCATTCTTATAAAACACAAGCAGAAAAACCTTGCCTGAGTTTACATCAGAAGTTCTCTATATTTTGTAATACTTGCTGGGTGAAGTCTTCAAGACTAACCCTTGACAAAGATGCACAAACAGGCCTCACCTTCCTTCCACAATGACCGCCTCTGTGGTGTAGTGGTTAGAGCGTCCGCCCGGAGAGCAGAAGGTCGCAGGTTCAATCCCCGACCCGTCATACCTAAAGACGTTAAAATATGGTACTTGTTGGTCCCTGCCTGGCGCTCGGCATTAATGGGTACAACAAGGACTGGTCGGCTCGGAGTCAGTATAATGTGTCTGAGTGGGGTATTCATGCTTCACTGTGGCATGGTATCTGAGTGGGCTAGCACTATAAAACCAGCTTAAGTCTGGGCTAGTACAAGCAGTCGCACATACACATACACATGCATGCACGTCGTCATATGAGCAAAATATTCTCAAGCACGACATTAAACCCAATTTCACCTCACCTCCTTCCACAAACACTGGCCGTCGCGCCGGTACAGCGCGAGTGAAGTGACAGTGTCAAATGGGTCAACACTCAGTATTCATAATCAGGGACCAGTGAGTTTCATTGCTGCTTTATTTCTAGTGCATCAGATTATGCTGACAACTTGATCACTAGATCATGGCCGCTGTATATTTTTGAATGAAATGTGATCGCAGTCCCATACAGACATGATCCGAGCCAAGGCTGCTGATCTGTCAGTACATTAGAGTCAGCGCCTGTTGGCACTGATTTCCTGGTAAACAGCATTGTGCTAATTGTGTCGGCACTAACCATGACGATACCGATATGTAATGAGAGATAATGCAGTTTACATCTGTCAAATATTTACTCAGGTAGTGATAGGGAGCTATGGCTCTTTATATCAGACAATATCACAGCATGCTGCAGTATTGGCTGCACACTTGGGTGATATAGATTGTTATAACCATGTAGGTGTTGGCTAGATGCCATGTCCCAGCATCAGGCAGGAGAAAGTGTTTCATTGATTGGCCAACACTTCGCCGACCTTACTGTCAATTATTTATAAATAAAGCCACGTCAGTGACTGTTTTAGTTTTGTTATCAAGCCCATTAAATATTTACTTGTGTTGGAAAAAATAATTGTATTTAAATTTGTTGTTTGTTTGTTGTTTAATGCCACACTCAGCAATATCCAAGCTATTTGACAGCAATCTGTAAATGATGTAGTCCCCATTAGTGGCTTCTTATGACAAGTACTCATCTCTCATAACCAATTCTAGCCTGGTTCTGTCGCTGTTAAGTGATGAAACTTTAAAAAAATATGTGTACAGTGAAACCCGGATATGTAAAACTCAAAGAGTCCATGGCAAAAGTTGCCACTTATCCGTATTGCCACTTATCCATCCAAGCAAATTGTATCACATTTCCAAGTAAAGTAAATAGACATCGTATCCCCATTGTATACATACATATATACAATTTTTAATATCAACATTCATCATTAAAAACCATTTCATATACATGTACATGTAATATCACCTGTTATGATGTCACGAATTTGAACAGCAAATCAGCATCACACTGTCGTTTCACTATCGGGTTACACTAAAAGCTTTTGAGAATATCACATGGAAAATGAGTCAACTATAAGAAGTCCTTGATACATGTCTGCTTGGCTTTTAACAACATTTCAAGTCCTTTTCTCTGACATAATTTGCTGGCATAGAGAATCCTGTCAACACTGTTGTTCCATCAGACAGTGACGACCCAAACTGTCTGATAACTTCAAGGGCAGGTTTACTTAAACGGAATTGCCACTTATTCGATTTTACTTATCCATCATGAAATAATAATAAATACTGAAGGCTATTGCTGGGACCGGAGAAAAAGGTTCACTTATCCGGGGTTGCCACTTATCAGTAGTTTACTTATCGGGCTTTCACTGTATGTATATAGGTTTGGCTTTAGCCAGCACAAATGAAGGAACTAGGGTTTGACTTTTAATGAGTGTTTACTTTTTCCGTTTGAACATTAAATGTCTGATAACATCTTTAACTTGTATAAATGTGACAGGCAGAGCTTGAGCTGTTATTCTTCAGCCTGTGAATGATGAAAAGCAGTGTTTCAGTAAGCCCATTATCTGCAAAGCAATTTTAATTTTGGTAGTGCGAAAGAAGAATGTCCTTTCGAAAGAGTTAAAATCATGGAATTGCTGTATTGACATGAATTTCTAGCAAGCTGGTTGGGTCTCCTAATCCCAAGGAAGTAAGGCCATTCACCCCACTCATTGGTGGTGGTAGCAGCAAACATGTCATCTGTTGGCTTCCTGTATACATGTACACTATACAGAAGGAGTTGGAGAACAGCAGTATCTTTCATATTATTGTAATTAATCTGTCATGGTGATATATGAAAGAATCCAGAGTTCCTTTTCTTGTGAGTGGTATGGAATGTGAGCCTACATGGCTCTGTTGCCTGAGTATCTCATGGAGTAAATCAAGCTGTCATTGATGTAGATGGCATCTTGAACTGACTGTGGCAGACCCTTGTCATGAATAATAGTAGTTGTGTGGGAATCAATATAGCTCTGCTAGGAATCTCCCCACATGCTCCTTGCAAGAAAACCATACCGTTTGCTGAACAAGATCAGGTCCAAGTTGATATAAGTTTTCTTGATATTTGATCTTAAACTGTTTTGATAGAAGTGAAATTGGCTCATGAAGGGCTGCCACAAGTACACAGATGTTAATGAAACCCTCTGGCTTGCTTGCTTGTTGAAGACATTGTTACAGTTCACACACAGAACAGGCATGGAGCGCATCAGTAACTACACTTGGCTAGTCTTGTAACAGTGAGATACATAGAGGACACTAAACGGCCTTCCATGTACTACCAGTTTTATTAAACGAGTTAATGATTTGGTATCAAAAAGCGAAAGTGGCATTTCACAGAAGCAAGATTAGTATTCTGTTTATTACTCTCCAACATAAATTGATAGAAACTGCCTACAGTGTGATGACTCAGCTTTCTGCAAGTCAAGCAAGGTCTAATACCATTGTGACAGAGGTATTAGCATTGTGACGTCATAACTGTAAACCATTATGATGTCATAAGTGTGTCATACTAGTGTAATATTGACGTAAAAATATTACACTGCAGTATCTTCCATGGGAGAGTCATAATGTTAAATATCAATCATTCATGCGACATAGATCCACGGAATTTCTAATGTTGGGGAGGCACTGGTAGAAGTTCAGCAGCTGAGGTTCCCTCCTGGATCTGGTACCCCGATCGGATCTGACCCTGATTGACACACAAGTCACTTACTGCATCACACAGCACCAGGGCTTACATCACTGGTTTAGTGTTTTCATATCACGCTCACTCACAATGAAGGAATTAGTTTGATTCTGCATATACTGACAGTGTGTGAAGCCATTTTTGGTGTCATCCGTCTGTGATACTGATGGATATAGACATATATTGCTATGAACCTACTCACTGACTTTTGTCCTTGCTGTTGCAGAGGTGGTGCGAGCTTTCACCCACGTCATCAACCACGGCTGGGCCATGTACTGGGGTACATCGCGGTGGAGCCCCATGGAGATCATGGTGGGTGTTTCTTGGTCATAACTGTCAGGAAAAGTATTGCTGCACTTCCAGGTTAAAAACAATTGTATCCTTATGACTTTGTTTAAACATGGATTCCAAGTGAAAACAGGCCCCCAGTAGTTGGTACAAGGTGATTAGAACAGGCCACCAGTATCTTTCTGGTCTTTAGGTGACTTAGGCGTTTAACGGGTGTTCCATGTCTTAAAGTTATTGAATGCAACTGTATAAATGTTATACTTGCTGCAGGGTTCTGGGCAAGCATAGCCTCACTTCATAATAAAACCAATTTTAGATATTCCATCACCTTTTAGCCATGATTGCCATGTAAAACCAAAGTCAGCGTGTCCTGTATGGAGCCCAGCAAGATATTTTATAACACTTCAATCAATAGCATACAGGGCCATGTTTGATGTTCACAAGATCTCAGCCTTCTGATTTCTTTGTTTTCATAAAATCTTGACTCTAGTAGTCGACCCAGTTAAAAATATTTTATATGAAAGTCTACTGTGTCGACTGAGCAGTGTGAAGCACTGTGGATGTTTCCACCACCACTGAAGCTCTGTGTGTTGTGTCAACTGAGTAGTGTGAAGCACTGTGGATGTATCCACCACCACTGAAGCTCTGTGTGTTGTGTCAACTGAGCAGTGTGAAGCACTGTGGATGTTTCCACCACCACTGAAGCTCTGTGTGTTGTGTCAACTGAGCAGTGTGAAGCACTGTGGATGTATCCACCACCACTGAAGTTGTGTGTGTTGTGTTGTAGGAGGCGTACTCGGTGGCGCGGCAGTTCAACCTGATTCCCCCAGTAGCCGAGCAGGCGGAGTACCATCTGTTCCAGAGGGAGAAGGTGGAAATACAAATGCCAGAACTTTATCATAAAATAGGTGGGTGTGGGACAGGACACTCAGGGGTTGGGGAGCGTCTCATGTTAAAAGTTGGATCTTACGGTAACTGTGAGGGTCTAAAGTTAACTGGGAAATGTCTAATGTTAACAATTATGTAAAAAGTTATTGTTACAGTTCATTGTTATAAGTATGTCTAATGTTAACCAATAGGGCCTAATGTTAACTTGCAGCATCTAATGTTATCGAGGAGGGTCTAATGTTAACTGGCAGTTAACTGGGAAATGTCTAATGTTAACAATTATGTAAAAAGTTATTGTTACAGTTCATTGTTATGAGTATGTCTAATGTTAACCAGTAGGGTCTAATGTTAACTTGCAGCATCTAATGTTATCGAGGAGGGTCTAATGTTAATTGCAGCGTCTAATGTTATTGGAGAGGGTCTAATGTTAATGGCAGTGTCTAATGTTTTCGGGGAGGGTCTAATGTTAATGGCAGCGTCTAATGTTATCGGGGAGGGTCTAATGTTAATGGCAGCATCTAACGTTATTGGAGAGGGTCTAATGATAACAATGAGTGGCCACACTGTGATAGTGTTGACAGTGTGATTCACTGCTTGTACTAGGTATCGGGACTGTGACATGGTCCCCCCTTGCCAGTGGGATCCTCACAGGGAAATACGATGATGGTGTTCCTATCTACTCCAGGGCTGCTCTCAAGGTCAGTATGACTGCTCAGATCCTGGTAACAACCTTAGGATGTCTCAATAACTTCCAATATTTCTTTCTGAAAAATAATTTGTTCCAGAAAATATTGAAAAAAGTTATTTTACTTCAGGTTATCCCCTCCCATCATTACTCCCAGTTAAAGAGAACCATCTCTTCACACCTCAGATTTCGGCTTTTATTTCTCCATCTGAGTGTTTTGTTCTGCTGTTTCCAGGGCTACAGCTGGTTGAAGGATAAGGTCCTGAGCGAGGATGGACGACGACAGCAAGCCAAACTGAGAGAGGTGGCAGTGATTGCCGACAGACTGGGCTGTTCTATAGCACAGCTCGCCATAGGTGGGAATCCCCGCTGTCCTAGACATTGGCTTAAAGGGGGACTTAGCTCAGGTCAACTGGCAGTCCCAGCAAGTTGGATTGAACTATATCAAAACACAGTAAAGTTTGTAAATTCAAATTTAATGTTCAAGTCACATCAGTCAGACTAACATAATCCCCAAAGTATCCTTCCTTGTATATTAATTACAACATGTAGACTGGGCTACGCATCTTGGAGCACAGTCCCCCTTTAACATATGTATAAAATCTAGCATATTATTACATCTCATAGGGGGTTTTATCAAGACTTCAGTGAAGTTGACTATTATATCAGATGCTTGATGGGCATTTAGAAGTTGGAAGGTAACATAACAATGTATGGTATGGATTTACAACTTCTTTAATGTTTACAACACAACGTTTCTGGGCTACTTCTTGCTCCTTCTTGCCCCTTCATCAGGTGAATATATTTATGAAAAGCTTCTCCAATAAGACCAAATTTTAGAGACAGGGAACGCCATATATTTGTATAAAGTCATGTGCTTGTCATAATGTACATGATAATGATTGTCTCTTTCCTGAACATGTCACTTATAAGATCTGTGAAAAATAGTTCCATAGACTGAAATCACTGTAAAAAGACGCCTATGGGGTCTCGGGTCAGAATACGTCCACTGAACTCTACTTCTTGGAAAGCGATTGAATTGTATCAGGGAGTCAGGTGATTTGGTTTATTTGGAAATCAAACTTCCAAGGATATTGCTCGTAATGTTAAACACCTCACCATTTCAACAGAATCTCGAAATATCAGGATTATAACAAAGTTAGCTGCATGTGTGAAAATATTTAAGTGAAAACAAGCCATTATGGTGACACAGAATATTTCATACAACAATGATCTTGTGGACCACACTACCCAAGTGAACTTTTTCATTATTGCAGGATTACTGATCTTGATTACTTGTGATAAGAGCCTTTAATTATGTCCTCAATTCATACTGAACATGATTACACTGACTTCAACACTGGACTGATGGGAAGTAACAAATTAATTTATATTATGTGAACTGGTTTCATGTTATGCCTGCCCGCGGATCCAACCCAATGCCTGTTTTCTCGTCTCCAGCGTGGTGTGTTAAGAGTGAGAATGTTCACTGTGTCCTGCTCGGAGCTTCCAATGTTGATCAGTTGTATGAAGACATCCAGGCCCTACAGGTAAGAGTTATCTCCCTTTGCTTGGTGGGGCGCCCACTTCAGCTGTGTGTGGTTCACTGCATGTACTTTCTTTGCCGTTCACAAGCTAATGACACTGCTAAGCTGATCACGTGGACTACATCAGTTCTTGCTTATTTGAAACTGCACAAATTGCAAGCCTGTGAGTAATTGTCAATGACTTGTAGAGTTTTTACTAGTTGACTTTTATAGAACCAGGGAAATAAGTCATTTACAGTTAGCTGAAAGCAGTTTGCCAGCTATACGAACCATTTCTTTAGCAATGTTTATTGTAAGAAGGAACAAAATTTGTCAAGACTTTTTTTACACTATTTCTGATCACTTTTTCAAATTATTTTTTTTGAACGTTTACTTTTAGATATTTTTAGTATTCTTTCCAAAAGTAATTGTTTATCCTCATTTCAAATGGCAGAAATTGCATGAATTGGAATTGGAAATTGAATATCCATTTTGTCAAGGCAATGCTTTCATGATTTCTATCAGTCTCTGTAATATAATGTATGGGACAGTTCCCTGGTTCTGGGATTTCAAGTGTATTTTTGCATTTGTTTGAATTGTGGTTACTGTGAGTCATGTCCTCATGAAGTTATTTCTACTGCAGTGTTTCCGACACTTGTTACTATAGATCATGTCAACAATGGCTTACCTTCAACTTTAGTGCTACGACGTCATTATTTGTATGAACATTTTAGAAATACTTTGAAACCCACACTCTGGCACAGCGATGACTAACATAACATCACTGCCACAGGCTAATTTGCATATCACGTGACCGGACTTTTCTCTTGTTTGTAATCAAACGCGCATATTCATAATAAGAAGAGACTGGACTCACGAGAGCTTTTCGGCGCTCTCTTCATAATGTTTTACATTGTTACATATATATTCTTCCACAACTGCGACAGTTAGGTCTATGACAGTACATATTTAGATATCAAACTGGCTGCATCGTTTGCTCTCCGTCGGCTTCGATGACTGCACGTGGAGCCGTACAACCTATGTAAACAAAGGATCGCTACGCAAATCGAAATAGTGTTACATGTTTTTGGATATTTTCTCAGTGAAACTAAACCATTCTATTAAAGATGTTTAGTTAGATGTGTAGACTCGTCAAAAATAAAAGAGTAAAAGAAATCTGTACATTATATTGAATGGACATTGCAAGATGTGACGAATCGTCACATTTTTCTGGCCTGTGGCAGAGGTAATATGCTGGCTTGCCGCGTGGAACTCTGGGTAGGAGAGTGTTTGAAACCTTGTGACTTCCTTCACAGAAAGCATTGTTTGTCCTGTCTAATATTCTCCCATTTTCATTTACTGTAAATTTGTATCTAAATCCGACTTTCTGGTTCTGCTCTGTTGTGAGCCCATGAATCTATCAAATTCAATTATTAAAGGAGAAGTGGGTAGCTATTACCTGAAACCAGTTTTCCCCCATCTCTGTTGTAAAAAATGAATGATTCAGTAAAATATTTTTATATAATTCTATGGTGAAATATATAATGTTACCATGGTTGGAAAGTGACCAGGTTTCAAGATATTGGTATTTAGGAACTGAATAACTAACATTCCCTCTGTATCCTGAACATAGCTGCCTTTCCTCCACACTAACACTGTCAAGCGGCTAGTCATTGTTCGGCTTATTAATCTCAACATCGGATTTGTTTAATCACTTTTTCCATTTTTTGCCCTTGCCAGTTTGTCCCTAAAATCACGTTGGAAATTCAAGAGCGTTTGGACACTGTACTTAATAACAAACCCCTACCAAGGTCACCGCCAGGGTCGCAGCGGTGTACATTGTCGTGGTAACAGAACATTTACATTACCCTTGTAACTGCCCATGTGGCCAGTTAAAGACAGGAATCAGAAGCGTTGTTGCATGAGACACAAGCTTGTCCGTGGAACAGATTCCTTGGTTTGAAGTGCAGGGACATCTGTCTGATACAGATTGTATGTTGTCCATTCTTATACTGACTCTTTGTCACTTTTAGTCCAGTTATCTTAAATAGTCTTAGTCATATTTAAATGTATTTTATGCATATTAAAAGGGAATAGGATCAAAATGTGCCCTGAATCCAACATCTGTTTATAAGATCCAGGTCTTGATTGCCTTTCTTTGGCTTGTTCTCCCAGTACCATATCTTGTAGATTTCTCAAAAGTGATAAGGCAAGATCAATTTTATTTCTTGTTTTACGGATTTTTGTCCTCAGAAAACCTAAAGGCAGGAGGAAAAAAATCAAAATCAAAATCACTAGTCAAAGTAATGTTCCTTTTAAATACTAATTTTTTTTTTACTTTTGGCAATTTATGAAGTGTATATGGGGCAAAAAACAATCTAAATACATTTTCTTGCACATTTACATTTTTGGCCACTAAAAATATTAAAATTTTATTTTTTGAGCTGGGAAAATTAATTTATATTTTATTCTTATTCTTGAAAAAATACGACCGGTGGATCCGTAAAGCAAGAAATAAAATTGGTCTGGCCTAAACATCTAAATGCAGACATCCCCTTGGGTTTTCCACTCACTTACATGCTAAAGGTGACAGGTTATAAAATAACTGAAATATGTTTGAAAGAGGGTTTTATCCTAGCCCACCACAGTGATAAACAAAAGCTACATAGAATTACAAGATCCCTTGTGATCTAATGTTGTGATCAAAAGGTAGATGAATCACTAACATTTATTCCTGAGAGAAATTAATGCCTAACATAAATTCACAAGGGAGATAATCCCCAATATCAATTCACAAGGAAGATAATTCTCCATATCAATTCACGAGGGAGATGATTTTATAACATAACTCACAAGGGAGATAATTCCCTGGCATTGATTCACAGGGGAGATAACTCCCTGACATTAATTGATAAGAGAAATTAGTTCCAAACATTATGACTCATGGAAAAGCACCCCTCTTTCCCTTATATTCTTACTCTGCCAATTACATGAAAGTGTGAAATGAAATACTGTAATATTGAACTGTCAGATAAAGAAAATGATGTAGCTTGGGGAAGAGTATTCAATATTACCATCATTTGTTTGTAAACTTAATGATGTACAACCTTAAACTCCAAACATGATTGTGTCCAGGTATCACTGTGGGGAGCTGTGACTGGGGGCAGAAATAGTAGGTAGATCTTTGGAAAAAACAGGCTAGTGCTTTGAGGAACTTGTAACATATATTTAGAAGGGAGATAAAAACAGAACATTGCTTCAAAGAAGAGATTTATTCAAAACAGAGATACTCCCCAATCATAAATCCACAAGGAAGATAAGTACATAGCTTTGGTCGGTTTGTTGTTTAACGCCGCACTCAGCAATATTCCAGCTATCTTGCAGCCTTCTGTAAAGAATGGAGTCTGGACCAGCATATTCAGCAATCAACAGCATGAGCATTGACCTACGAAACTGGCATATGGTGACATGTGTCAACCAATTCAGTGAGTCTGACCACCTGATCCCCTCCTATGTCAAGCATGGGTTGCTGAAGACCAATTCTAACCCATATCTTCATGGGTGTAATGCACAGGGAAGATTGATCACAAACATTAATTCATAAGTGAGATATGTACAGCATTAATTCACAAGGGAAATTAATCTCTTATTCTAGATGTGTATAAGTTGGTTAACTCAAGAGACATCAAATTAATCCTTTGCATTTATACTTGAAGTCTGCAATTCATGAGGCATGTGGTGTCCTTCACAGGCATACGAATCATGTCTCAGTGATGCTACCACAGGTGGGAAGGAAGTAGAAGGTTAATATTACTTACACTACAGTCCGTTTGGCTCAAAAGCGGACCGATGAATTGCAATCTAACTCGAAAACTAATAAACATAACATACTCAATGAAATGCTGATCATAATCAAAACATCATACCCACTCTGTGAGGTTTTTGCAGAATTTTTGTCCTAAAAATTAAAAAGTTGTTTAACAATCTATCATTAAAATATTGACACAGTTCACTATTTGTTACGAGGGACAAGTGCAGAGAAAGGGACAGCCAGGTGTGAGAGAAGCACGTTCACAGACAAAGTTATTTATTCATTAACCTGTGCTGTGCCGTCTCCATCTGTTCTCGAACATCTGGCTGTCCCTTTCTCTGCACTCCTCCCTCATAACAATAGTGAACTGTGTCAATATTTTAATGATAGATTGTTAAACAACTTTTTTATATTTAGGATAAAAATTCTGCAAAAACCTCACAGAGTTGGTATGATGTTTTGATTATGATCAGCGTTTCATTGAGTATTTTATGTTTATTAGTTTTCGAGTTAGACTGCAATTCATCGGTCCGCTTTTTAGCCAAACTGACTATACCTGGTACCCAGGCAGCTTCTGCTGGTTGTAAGAGGAGACTAAACGGGGCAGACTGAGTGATTTGGTTAATACCATATCATCATACTTTCATCAGGCTTTGCTCATAACGCCAATCCGCAGTTTGTCTGATCCAGACTTGATCATTTACAGGCTGCTCTTAAAAACAGGTATTTTTGCGTAAGACGGAAAACAACAAATTATGCTTACCTTGAAACTAGTTTGACAAACTCTGCTCTTGTACTGATATATATCGCTTGAAAATATTTATCTAAAGCTTTTTCACAAATCAGAAGTACTCCTTTTGTAGTAGTTTAAGTAATGCTGAATTTGGCATTGGATTTAATCACTGATAATTTAGTATGATTTGTTTTAGTAGATACTGGATATTAGTACATGATATTGATAGTGAATAAAATGATGTGATAATTATTTCACAGATGATTGATTTAAAGGAGGAACACATTCCCTGTTCTCATACCCTTCCCAGTGTGGACATAGAGTTAATGTTAAATATTGAAACACATACTTATGTTGAGGGTAATTGTTAAGTTTGACTTTATGATTGATATACAGACAAATAAGAGGATATTAAACCCAAGCCTGGCCCATCTTGAACACAAGTACGGCAATTTATAGATAATATATTAGACAGAAGTT